ATGACCAAAAAGACGTGAAGACTGTTCTGCATATATCGTTTAGTGCACGTTTAATGTAAAGAGGGCTTATTTAATATGAATCTTGTGAAGTTTCAGGTGCTATCTATCCCAAAGGACTATACGCCGTTTATAATATTATTAATGTTACTTTCATGCATGTGGTAGCCTGGAAATTCGAATCTGGTGATAGGGTCGTTCCATTCTGCGCCCTAGTTGTGATTGCGGTTCTTCCCCTTCCTACACGTTGCACTTTTGCTCCCGATCCTTTTCTTTTAATGAATATGTCAGAATTTAGTTAACCTGGCTGTTCTAAGAACACTAGGAACAGGGAAGATTAGACAGGTTAGTCTCGCCCTTTAAAAAAAGTTTGCGTTAAGTCGATTATTTATTTACTTCAAGCTTTTCTTGATGAAGGATAAGGAGATTTACGACGAATCTTATGCATATAGTAATTAGATTTAATTTTATTAGTTGAAATCGCACAGCAGTATTGGTTTGTCAACACGTCTTCTCTTTTTAAAGGAATGCTATTTTTTTATTGCCTTTGCACTATGGTTTTAGGCAAAGCGAGTTTAATGGAATCGCCGGATTTGTTTTATTATTTCTGGAAGGTGATCAATTCAATCCTTCTACTGATTGGCCCCGGAATGGCAGCGCGACAGGCAGTTGATGAAATTTCTACAGTAGCTGGGAACGCTCTTGGAAAAATTAGGAATAAGCCAACCATGCAGCAGATCCTAATTGGTGCCGCGTCTGGGCTGTACGAAATTTATCCACTTGAGTTTCCTAAATATTTAGAGCTACCGGCTACGTTTTGACTAAGGTCGGTAAATCAGTAGCTTTTTGTGTAGGGGTATCAGCAATTGGTCTGCAGGTAAATTTTGACATTCTTTTTCAGTTTCTTGGGTGTGGTTTCAGTGCGTTCTATGACTTTCTCGCATATTTGCTTTCACAGTCATGGAATTTTATGCATACGTATTCGTTCCCAATTTTGAAGCCTTCTGTACATCTTGATGATGCCTGTTGTCTTGCTACCAGGTATTACTACCTCTTTACGTCCTTACCCCTATGTTATTGTTACAGTTTTTCGTCAATCATAAACAAGGTAATGAAGACTGGAAAAAGCTAGAGGATGACGCTCGCGAGGTACTTGAAAAAGTCGTCTTGACTGCTAAGCAGGTATGTCTTTTTCATGTATGAATTTTATCATCGCTCAATATCTGGGCAAAATCAGGTAGTTTTGTCTCTGTCTCCTTTGGGTAAAGTAATACCGTTTTGCCTAGTTCAGGCTATTACTCCGTTGTGCTGAGCTGGATACTTTGGTTGCGCATGTGAGAGGTTTCAGGTGCTTATTTTTTCTGTGGTTTTAGAACAAATCTCCTCCTACTAAGGTATGTTTGTTTTAGCCAGATCTTGTTAAAATATCCCGTGTTTAGCTTACACACGATAGTGATATATCCTGTGATTGTTCTGTGCCACTTTTTAATCAAACTAATGATTTTTTGGCATACCACTTTATTAAATGGGTCTTATGCGCTCAATATGCAAATGTCATCTCTACGTATACATTAGCGCAATACCTCTGTGTCTAATATTAAACAGAAGAGTACTACGCGCATGCATCATTGCTATTTACTGTCGTGGAATGAGGTGTTACTTGTATGGGGTTTGTCGAAACAAACTTTTCGAATGGGTTCATTGGACCATAAAATACAATTGACGGTTCTACTTACTTTGCTTAGTGCTCTGCCGACTCTGTGATACCAGGTCATTTTCACTGTTGCTGCAAGCTCCTTTAATCATGAGCCAGTATCGGTTATCTAAAGTTTGTCAGTATGCCACTATCGGGCGGGATACACAAATCCATAGACCTTGTTCCCCCTCTTACTTGAATGTGTTGCTTTATAGGTGTTTGCCATGCTCAGGGAGAATCAGGTTTTCTTTGGGTCCTTCTGTGGTGGTTTCCTCATCGGGATGTCATTCTCGTAGCTGTTCGCCATTCTGACCGGAATAAGCCTTCCGACTTCGGATTTCACAGCTCTTTGGTCTAACAACATAGTACGCCCGCCCATATTTTTTGTTGATCAAGCAACTCTCCAAGTTTGCACTACCCTTCTTTGTGTACCGCTGTGCTGGGGTGGCGTGGGGTATTGGGGGTGGTCCGGTTTAGTGGGTTCTTTTTCCGGAGTGGCCTTCGACCGTCTTGGTTGTGTTCGACCGTCTCGCTGCCGGAAGGAGTGCTTTAGAATGGGCGTCGCGGTGGGGTGACATCGTTTTCGGTGGGTCTGGGGAACTCATTGTTTCTTCCTCTCATCTGTTTGGTGATTGGGCTCTGGAGGAGTACGTGGGGGGCGGCCACATTTAAAATGGAGGCGGTGCAGATCGATTTGTTGTGTTCCAGTGAGGAGTGAAGTTCTTTGTAATTTTGGTCCTTTGCCTTGTGAGTCGTTTATTTTCAGTGGGTCAACAAGTTAGTAAAGGCACAATTTGAAAATAACGCTATATGTTTTCTGACATTTTTACGGTTGCAAAACATTTGACAGTTACAGGATCTACAATTGCATCATAGGCCGTGTAGTGAATACCTATTACTATCGTTAAAGTTTTGGTACTAATGATAGACGTCTTTTAAAAGTGAGCATGTGTACATTCTGTTTAGTAATATAAAGTATGTCAAGTTTCGGCGCACTTTTCAAAATTCCCTCGCTTAGCCAACTAATTGGTCGTGTTCGGCATTCGTGTGGTTGTTGTCTTTCTTTGAGAAACGCGATGCTTCATGAACTCCATGACGCATTATCGAAGAGTAAAAGGTAATGCCATTTAGATTTGTTCCTATTATAGGTACGAGCAAAGGTACAAATGTAAAGCACCCTGCTGTTCTGGGTTCACTTATTCGCTCGATACACCGTGTACCCTTTGCGGGAAGCCGGTTTCCGTGAGCGGCGCATCAGAAATGATACAAGTTGCCACAGAAAGAAAACACGTGGAACAGGTCGGCAGTAAAAGGCGTCTCATGGAGATATCCGTGAGTGTTTCGGATAACTCATGCACATTCCCACTGGCTGTTGTAAGCCTCGGCAAGGCAAACGTTTATGACGCTAAAGAAAAGTTATGCACTATAACAAGTAGATCCATATCTTTCGGGGCCAACGTCCATGGTAGTTTTTCCCATAATGAAATATTTTTAGGCGTCTTCGTTCCCCTCTCCGTTAAATCCGATGAGGTTGAGGAGATACTCTTTTGCGAACCGCTTAAAGTTATATTTTTGATTCTGAATGCCACAAGCATGAATCGTGTTTCCGCATCTCTAGGCATTGCTCATCATTGTAAAGATGGTAGGTTCCAGGGCTTCCAGACTAATAATTCCTTTCTTTATTTGCAGATAAGAAGAGACGTGTTGTTATCGTCCTCGAGGAAAAACCGCTTCGAAATCCGTTTGATTGTAATGTTGTCCCTCGTTGTTTAACGTCACCTCAGCTGGAAGCGTTTTGTGCTAATGTTCGGCTGACGGGCGGTGTCTCCATGACCGATGTGAAACCCTCCACTGCTCAAAGTATTTTAGTAGCATTCGGTCTACGTCTCACACGCAACCATTCAAACGAGACCACCCATGCAATTTCTACGGTGGATCTTTCCGCAAATACTCCATCTGATTGTTCGGTTATTCAACATTCGTCTAGTACGGTAAATTCTGAGCCTGTTGGGAGTACTCTGGTGGTATGTGGTGAACGTTTGATGTTTCCCTAATCGTATTATTCTATCCTTTACCTCTTTCTAGTCGCATGCACTGCATCCTAGTGGAGCTGGAGATTCGGATAACCTTGTGGTTTTAAGTGACGATGAATCTGTCGGTAAAAATGATGACAGTAATGATCCTTCTTCCAACATTATGCTCGAACCCACCTCTGCAGTTGAAGCTGCCTCTATTAACGGAAAAGGCAGGTGGGTCACTCATTCATCGTTTGTGTATGCATTCCTTTAAACATTTTCTTCCATCAGCTTTATCTACCATCCACCTGGGTCGAAAGATGGCATCCTTTTAACCGAAGCCGATGTTGATTGTCTCTCGCCCGGCGTCTTCCTTAATGACACAATCATCAACTTCTACTTAAAGTATCTATACTTCGAACAATTTTCACCCCTGCAACGTCACGCCACGCACCTTTTCAACTCATTTTTCTACTCACGGCTCTGCTCTGTTCACTGTGATACCTCTCTGAGCCTCGAGTCTGCTGATGAAGAGTAAGCCATGGCTCATTACTTCCTCTCTCCTTATGGCTACCTTTATCATCACTTGAATGGGGTTCGATCCTTTGCAGTCTTCGGACGTCTCGGCATGCTGCAGTGGCTAATTGGACGCGACGGGTGGATATCTTCACGAAGGACTACATCATAATTCCAATAAATGAGAAGTACGTTTTTTGTTATGTCGTTGGTTTTCACCCTCTCCTTTCTAGTCTACACTGGTTTCTGGGTCTCGTGTGCTATCCTTGGATGGTCGGAATGGTGAGCTACACCAAACTCTACGCGGACTACAGCTTTGATCAATGCCGTCTAATACCCGATTTTGCAGACACGAACAATGTCGAGGCTTCTTTTGGTGATGTTGGCATTGAGGAGGTCAAGAATTTACCAACGGATGAGCGAGTATGTAGATGATGCGAGTTTTTTTATTAATTCTGTTAACTAAGCATCATTTTTTGAGTAAAATTCATGTATACTTGATGCTCTAGAATAACTTTTGTTTTCGTGTGGTAAAGCTTATGCTGACGCCATTTCTCTAGACTTAAAAATAATTGTTAGTCTTTTTGGAATATTTCCTTTGGAAACCGCTTAAGGATTTTTATTCTAAGGATGAAATGTACCTCATCTGGATCATTACCCATTTAAGTTGTACCCAAAATACATGCCTTTGTTTAGGGTGACGCTTTTGACAGATGGCGACGTAGACGTCTGGCCTGGTTGCGTGGAAGAGGTATCAATGCTATGTAAGGTTTTATACTTTGGATCCTCTTTCTGTAGTGTCCCTCATGTTTCATTTCATCTTTCTCTATATCTAGGCCCTGCATTCTTCTCTTTGATTCCATCTCCGCTCAGCAGCGTATCGGGAACCTACATATTATCCGGAAGTAAGGCGTTTTTTATTTTGAAAGATAGATCCGGGGATATTGAGATTCTAGTTTGTTCTAGAGGGATTCCTGAAAAAATGCTTTCTTTTAGTTATTTGCAGGCGGAGTGGGACGTTCGAAGGAGGGAGAGGGATGGTGATATGCTCTTTAACAAGGACACTGTCCGTGGATTTAGCCCTCGTGTTCCAGGTCAGAGCAACCTGGTGGATTGTGGCATTTTCCTACTGCACTATGTGGAGATGTTCTTCAAGGTAAATAATACTGTTTCGTCTAACTGTTTTTCTCTTTAGAGGCCTCTAAAAAGCTACACACGTGAATTTTTCCAAAATGAAATGAGCCGGTGGTTTGAAAGCGAGATGCTGGGAAAAAAGCGGTCTGTTATTAGCAAACTTATTGAGCAAATTTCGCGGCGATCTTCAAAGTCCGACCAAAATCCATGCAAGCGTCCAATCCCTACGTAATGGCGTTTTGATGAATTCGTCGCACTTTTTGTACATACCCCTAATCCCGTTTAAGCAATCTAGACTGTCCCAAATCGAAATGAAATGGGTTTTCGTCTCTTGTCTCTATATTTTAGATGCCTTTAAAATAAATTTTGCATTTTGTCATCCATGTATGCTTGTACGCTTCGCATATATCCCTATAAACTTTTCACACCGAAATATGACGCTCCCCAGTGTTCGTCGTTTCGCGTACTTTCGAAGCAAAATCGACGCGATCAGGAAGTAACTTCGAAGCGAAAATTTGGTGCTAATTGGAGTACTCTATAACTTACTAGTCTTTATGATTTTCATGGAATGTACTCAGTGCTGCTCTTTGAATATTATTTGACGTCGTTGCTGCAGCGAAAGTGAATCAAACTCCGCTTACGTACTTCTCGTAAAATGCCGTTCTTGGGTAGTATCGCAGCTCACATGCTTGAATGGATTGTGTAAACAGCGGGAGATGTGTCTGTTTAGCTATCGCCTTCCGGTTGCCTGCGTGGTGCCTATTCCTACTGGTATAATATGCATTTGCCGCCAGGGGGCGCATCAATTGAGTCGGTTCCTCTGAAGTGGCCCGCTGTACAACTTCAAGATGCACTGGTCAATCGCTGCCGTCTGGCAATAACTAGTGAAGTCAGCACCCGGCAGTGAAGTGATGCGTCAAGTCGCGCCGATGGGTTGCTGCTTGTGATGGCGAATATCCTAGCGTCAAATGGGGCTTCACCATTTATCAAATTTGGTTCCGGGGTGCAGTGCGTTAGGTGATCCTCCGAGTAAAGTCACAATTTTACTGGCACCACTGTCTAGGATTGTTTCTGGTAAGGCGACCTAGCTCAAATTGTGTCCTTTTCGCTAACCGTTGATGCATCGGTCTTCACGTGCAATATTCCCGTGCTTTCCTAAAATTAAGATGGACTATATTGAAAAATATATAACATGCTATACCTTTCTAAATAACACGGCTTTGACTAAGGGGAAAGTGGCAATCAGAGCAGGGTAACACTTTTAATGCTTAATTAATTTGGTTTTAGACTCCGATAAAGATGCTTCTTAAAGTAGCAGGGCATGCCGCTTGCAAATCACTGAATCAAGTTACTCGATCATCTGATTTGTACATATGCATCTTCGTCGGCTTGCTCTGCAAAAGAAATAAGAGGTTATATTCGTTGTTCAGGTACATGGTTAACCAAGCGCTTTGCATATATTAAGTAGTTATTTGAAATCCAAACAGTGTTCCAGGAATTTGAAATTCCACATTTTAGCGTTGTTTTTGGGAACAAAAAAAGAGTTTAAACAAGTTTTATCCCTAGGGTCATTAACATGGGCTCCATCCGTGAGGCGACTCAACACAAGATAATAACAAATCGCAAAATATGATATCTACCTTCGGCAACCACGTCAGCTCCGCGTTTTGTAGGAAAGCTATTAATAACGGAAGAGACTGCCCGTCAACTTTCTTGAAAAGTTCCTTACGGAGCTGTCCACTGTTCCTGTATGGAGATATCAAATATACGAAAACGCAATACCACCTCCACTTCTCTACTAGCTGGATGGAACCCAG